ATGCACATTAAAAAAAAAAAAAAAGTATAGGGGGGGCAGGAGGCCAGAGGAGCGGAGGGGAGGACATTGGTCAAGGGCCTGACAGGACAGAACCAGGAGACTTTGACAGGAGGAGTGTGAGGGCTGGGAGACGGTGTTTGACCCTGGTCGGCTGGGACCTGGCTGCAGCATCACTAACTACGGGAAACGTGGGCCCAAGAGAAAGTTTATGGCAGAAACTTATCTTCAGAACAAACTGAATCTGAAGGGCTGTCAAGATTCAGGCTGTTGGGAGTGTGGCCTGGAGGCCAAGGAGTCAGGGCTGCCTGGCAGGTGTGTCACGCGTGGTGTCGTCCCCTCTGAAAGCCTGGTTCTTTCTGTCCCTCCACAAATGGCACGTACTTCAAGGTCACATAGTCCTTGACTTTGTCTTGGACTAGTCTGGGACATGACGGTGTATCGGTCCCACCGTTTATCGTCTCTAACACACGCTTTCTATAGCTCGTCTATGGAGATCTTAGAACTTGCGGTCATCTTAGAAAGTCAGCAACAAGTTCCCATGACTGAGGAAACTGAGACCTAGAAAGTGTGGGGTTCTCGGCCAGGTTCACACAGTCAGTGGCCAGTGTCCTGGTCCCCGGCCTCTGAACTCTCCACGCTGGAAGGCGCAAGGGCCACCTTCCAGGCCCTGCGAGTGGGAGGATGCCAGGGACCCCCCTGTCCCCTGACCTTCCTCCGCAGTGCATCTCGTCCCTGTGCTCGCAGAGGGTTTCTCAATAACCATTTAGTATTCCCTTGGTCTCTTGTTCTTTATGGTTGATTCCTTTTAAAGTTCTAAACATTTAAAATGTTGCTTTCCTTACCTGCATTCTCTATTTTTCTTAGTTTGTCTTTATTCTTAAAAGTGTTACGGACGTCCGCCGTTTCCCCCCACTGACCCCCTTCTGCGCCACCCCCCAGGCCTTCGCCGCACTATAGTCTGTGCCCGCGGGTCGTGCATGTAAGTTCTTCGGTTAAGTGGAAACATAGACCCAGCCCCCCTCCCCAAATACACGTTTGTTTCCCGGGAACGGATTTAAGAATAGCATGGGCTGGGAGCTGAAAATGTGTCTGTTGCATAAAACATACCTGTTGTCCACCTTCCGGGGGTCCTTTGACTCCAGCGGCACTAAGGGACCTTCGCTCTCTCTCTCGCCGCGTTCTCAGGGTTGGTGAGGGATCACGAATGATCGGGGTTCGATTCCCGGTCAGGGCACACGCCTGGGTTGCGGACTCGATCAATGACTCTCATCATTGATGTTTCTGTCTCTCCCTCTCCTTTCCTCTCTCTGAGATCAATAAAGATATATTTAAAAAAATAAATAAAGACTGTGCTCCTAACTATTATGGAATACCTCCTCCTTGGAATAAATGCACATTTAAAAAAAAAAAAAANTTGCTTATGGACTTTAAATTTTTTATTTTTAGTTTATTTGTGTTCAAACAATGTTGACGCCCAGGCTTATAGAAAAGAGGATGTCTTTTAGAAGATGTCTGGATTATTCCATAAATTTTAAAAATAGAAATTAAGGATTATAAAGATATACTAGGAAAGGAAACTGACTGTTTTGAGTAAAAAATAAAAGCAGAAGCTTACTAAAATTTAAAAAAAAAAAAAAAAAGGGGGGGCCCAAAGTTTATGGCAGAAACTTATCTTCGGAACAAACTGAATCTGAAGGGCTGTCAAGATTCAGGCTGTTGGGAGTGTCGCCTGGAGGCCAAGGAGGGTCAGGCGGCGTGAGAGAGCGAAGGTCCCTTAGTGCCGCTGGAGTCAAAGGACCCCCGGAAGGTGGACAACAGGTACGTTTTGTGCAACAGATACATTTTCAGCTCCTAGCCCATGCTGTTCTTAGATCGAACCCCGTCAAGCGCCCCAGCGCAGCAGTCAAAGCCGTAATCACAGGGCCCGTCCCCGCGGTGATCCAAAGGTCTGCCGGCCGATTTGCCCTGTGACCGTAGAAATTAACGCTCTTCACCTGGCCTCTCCTCGCCCACCTTCCAGATGCCTTGAACCTCCGGAACCGGCAGGTCATCTGCGTCACCCTGAAAGTGCTCCAGCACCTGGTGGTGTCGGCCGACATGGTGGGGGAAGCGCTGGTGCCCTACTACCGCCAGATCCTGCCCATCCTGAACATCTTCAAGAACATGAACCGTGAGTGGCCCGGCGCGGGCGGCCGTCAGGCCCCAGGGAGGGGGCGCGGTTCGAAGCTGAGTCAGTCAGCGCCCCTTGGGGGTTTGTTAGGGTGTATAGAGCAAAACGCACTTGGAGGCCCAAGTAGTGTGACTCCCACCCCTCGCCTTCCCCTCCCCGGGGGACCAGTCAGGTTAACACTCATTTATGGCCCCTGGCGCTGCAGCTCCCTCCCCCAGCGCCCAGGCAGGAGCAAGTCCTGCGATCTCCTGTAATTCAGTTGCCACGTTTTTCCAGTCGTTTCTGGAATACGCTAGTAGGCGTTGAGTGTGTGCTTTCTCTTGATAGTAATTCTACCTTTAGATACTTCCTGCTAAAACTGCAGTTTTTGTTGATTTAAGATGACATTTTAAAGCAATCTTATTAAAATCTGGTTCGAGCAGTTTGGAGAGTCTCAATATGCATTTTCCATTTCTAAAAAATACATAGAACAATCGGTTATTTGTAGCTACTTAGTTGGTGGCGAGTGCTGTTTAAAATATATACGTACTGGTGAGCTTATTCTGTAAAGTGTTATTGCGTATGTTTTGGAAGCGCCGAGGAGCTCCGGTGAGCCCGCGTCAGCCTGGCGAGGGCGTCCGCGGGGTGGGGACCGGTGGCGGGAGGTGGCCGCTCTGTCCACGGAGAGCGTGTTTCCTTCCTCACCTCTTGAAACTACATGCACGTGGTTTTCCTCTTACGTCGCTGCCCTCGAAGGCCCGCGCTTTTCCTGAGTCGGCGTCACGGTTAATTCCCGACGTCCGTGCTCGTGAGCAAGCGATGCGATGGCGGCTGCAGGGAAATGTTGGAACGTGACCCCTTCTCGTGGTGGGTACGAAAAAATGAAACGAAAAGCCGAGTGTGGGGCGCCTCCCACCACAGACGGGTCCTGCTCGTTTATTTCATTCCTACGTGTCTTTTAAAATTCTCCCGGGTCAGGGGACCCTTCAGGAAGCCGCGGCGTCCTCGGGAGGTTTCCGGCTGCCTTTCAGTCGCTGGACCTGCTCGTGGTGCCTGTTGAACTTACGTAGCGGAGGGGACTCAGGCTGAGGCGGTGGGAGCTGAGGGGCATCCGCAGGGAGCGAGTAGCTATCCAATCCGAACCCCTGAAGGTCTACAGAGTTAACGGGGGTGTTTCGACTAGAGGGTCACCCTCTCGGGAAAGTAAAACTGGGCGTTTAGTGGTTGAGTATCTCATGGTCTCAGCTGCACGTTTCAGCAACAGCGTGGAGCCATAGGCTGAGTCCACATGTGCGCACTGTCCAGTTATGGTCCCTGAACCCCGAAGGACGTCCAGTGTCGATTCTAATTAGCCTGAGAGAGACGGGGAGAGAGACGGCAGAGCCAGGAGGACAGAGCTGGAGGTTATGGAGCCGAGTTATTGAAGAAATGGGCGAATCGGGCGGCAGCCACCTCCACACGTCTGTCCCGCTGAACGTTTCCCAAGCGTGTGATCCCCCAGCTTTTCCTCCACGCCCCACACACAGAGGCCTGTGACACGCGCAGTTTCCATCTTTCCGTTGTCGCAGTTGCCTCTCCGCAGCTTTTCTCGCATATAAACATTCGCTTCTGTTTCCACCCGCATGGAGCCCGAGCCCCGGCCCCTTCCCCTCCCGGCCCGCAGGAGGTCCCGAGGCTGCCGCAACACTGTAGAGTCTGGAACCCAGACCTAAGCATCATTTTGAATAAAGGAAGAAAAGCAGTGATATTCAAAAGACAGTCGGCGTCTCCCTCAAACCTGTAAAAAGTGGACAGGGCGGTGGGAGCTCGGACTGTCCGACAGAAACAGCCGGTCTCTCCGCCTTCGCCGCTGCGCTTTCTGCTCAGGCCTCTGACCCGCAGGCGTTCGCGTGCTTAACAGCAGAAGCGACTGGCTTAGGGATACCTTCCTGTTTAGCTTTGATCAACGCGAGGCATCTGTGGTTTATACCGGAGCTTTAATTGGCCCCATGCATGGCCCGTCATTTGGGGACGCTTCTGAGTGCGTGCACCAGGAATTCTGCGTTCAGCTATTTTCTGCTGAATGTCTCTCTGACATTTGAGTTGAAAACAGTATCAGCTTCAGCTTCGTTTTCTACTTATCTTAGGAACCTGTCAGTGCAGGGCCGGGACGTAGCCGGCTGTATTTCCACAGGCCGGATTATAAAATCGGAGCACTGGAGCTCTGAACCTCAAAACCAATCTTCAGCGTGGCCTTGTGGCCGTAGAGCCAGTTCTGTTAGCAGAAGCTTATCGCAGGATTTCCAGTTACAATAGTCTTTTCACTCCAGAGACAATTTAGCTTTAATGGTGTTTTAATAAATCCTGCGTTATGATTATGGATATTTTACTCACATACACAGAACCATATATACTTAGGTTATTTAGGCAGATGTGTTCAGCAACAGATATCTTTATTTATAATTAAAATTATATTAGAAATTTGCAGCATGTCACCTTAGAAAAAAAACTTTATCCTCAATTTCAACATATTTGAGAAAATTTCATACACTTCAGTCTCCTCTCTTCTCTCCTTCCTTCCCTCTCATGTAAATCACCGTCTCGTAAAATTCAGGTTCAAACACATCTCTTTCGAGTCCCGCGACAAAATCTTGGGAACGAGACCGGAGAGAAATGACAGAAGGGCAGAAAAGGAACGAGAGAATGTTCCTCAAATACGATGACTTGCCCGCCCGCCCGCGTCCCCGCAAAGGACAGGCTTCAGCTTAATTCTTGCCCCTCCTGTGTGCAGTTCCCGTCGTTTCAGTGCCAGGTGGACTTTCTCCAAAATGCGCCAAGGGGCTGCGCGGCCAGGGACCGGGCACACGTGCAGGTGGTCACCCGGGTGAGGAGCCCGGGCCTGGCGTCTGTCTCCTCGGGACTGGCAGCAGCCCCCCGTCGTCACTGTCACATCCCCAGGTGCTCAGACTGACCACCAGCCCGGGGCCTCGACCCTGACCTGGGAGGAGCGGCGTTGTGCTTCTGTTTAGGATAATATGTTTCGCGGGGCTTAGTTAGGCTGTGGTTTAAAACACGCCACAGGTCACTCTCCGCTGAGAGCCGAAACGCGGACCCGAGGGTAACATTCTGGAGCCGGGAGAGGGAAGCGCTTAGGCAACTCGTGCCACAGCTCTGAGCTTACGTCTCTTCATCTGTACAAAGTAGCCGCGACAATGCCTCTCTGTCGGGTTGGCGTCACAGTTCGAGGCAATATATCCAGAGCCCCTTCACACAGAGGCTGGCCTTGTCCGGGTATTAAAAGAGAGAGCCACTATTATCGTATAAAGGCATATACATGCCCAGTATTACGTGCATCTGTTATTGTGTGATATCGCATGCAAGCATAGCAATGCTGTATAAGTTATTATATAGCCACACGAGCAGGGGACTGAGCGTATTGCGTCCTCTGTTGGGTAACCCGGGCCTGTGAATGAAGCACCACCTCCTGGTCCCCCAGCGGCGACAACCCCTTTGGTTTCACAGGACTCACCATACCGCTGATCGCCGGACGCCGGGGAGGTGGCCAGGTGAGCGAAGGGCCCTGGGATTCATCCAGGGGTGACTGGTTTTCAAATCCGTCTCTTCCTGCCGTAATCTCCCAGCTCGAACATGTGGCCGGTGTTTGGGGGAAGGAGATATGTCCAAAAAGGAGGCCTGAGCGTGACCACCAGGACTCACCGGGATCAGGGTCCTTGTTGAAGGATCCAAACTTGGGTCTCAGCTTTCGAGCTCATTTGCCTTACTTCTGAACAGCGAATCCTGGGTGTCTAAAATGTGCCGCCTTCCCAGTGGCTGCTTTGGGGCGAAAGAGAGAGTTTCTGAAATAGCAATTTCTTCGTTCCCGTGTCCTTTTACAAATGTTATTAACAGTTACATAAAATTAAGACAATAGGACTGTTCAATTTATAGCCTTCGGAAATGAAGCTACAAAATTAATGACGCAGTGTATTGCTTTTGAGAGGCAGGAGCCAATAAACGGTATTAAATATTTACAGCTGAAATACGGGGCTGTGCGGGCAGATGAGGGCTTGCCAGTAACCCCGTTTCCACAGGCAGTCCCTGCTGCGGGCCCTTTGCTCCTATCCGCACCGATAGTCCTCAGACAGGTGCCACCTGGGACACTTCAGAGGCCCCAGGTAACAGCAATGCTAACAGTAGCGTATTTATGTCATGAAGTATGTAAAAGTAATAACAAAACAACCTGTTCCCATATGTGGAAATCAAATAGCCTTAGATTTACCTAGGATAGCTCTGGGACATATGCCTCTAAAATCAATAAAAGCCCATGGGAAAGATGTTAAAATTTTAAACTTCAATTCAGATACATTAAAACATAGGAATTCTAATTTTGTGGGTTTTTAAAACTCTACAGGTGTTTTTTTTTAAATCTGTAAATAAGTGTTACATTAATTTTTAAAAGAACCTATCTATGAGCTTCATCAAGGTTGCATGAAGCAGTTTACCCCTTTTCGTTGCTGTGTAGTATTCCATTATAGAAATAGTCTGCAATTCGTTATGCACTTTACTGTGGTTGAACAGTTGTGTTGTTGAGTTTGGAATTATTAAGGATAAAGCTCCTATTAACAAAACAAAACAAAAAAACACAGAGGTAATGGGGATGCATCAAATTTACAAAATTTTAGAATATTTGTATCAGGTCTTTGGCCTTGAAGTTCAAGTAGTTTCTAAAAAATAGGAACAATTATTTCATGTTGGTAGTCTTTTGAAAGAACTTGCATGAGAGCCTCAGCGTTCTTGGTCAACCCAAATTCAGTTCTCGTTTACATTTCTGAGTTCCATGGGGCCTGTTCTCTCAGGGTCCTTGAAAGTGTTGATGAAGTTTTCAGAGCTGACGGTTTACCCCCAAATCACGACCGACTCATAGAAAGGTTATTTCACTTTGGAGTTGAGGTCTGTTTCCCATGGAATTCTGTTCCGTTTTGAGTCTATGGGTTTATATTTTGGAAATTGACGTCAAGGTTCCTTTGAAATCATTAGGCTTG